CTTACTGATGATGCCGACGAAACGTCTGAGAGTGTACCAAGTCCACTGTCTGATGCTGGGAATTATGGTACTTACTATGGCAGAGGACTTGGGACAAGGTGCGTTCTATTAAGTCGCCCTGACAACAAGACCAAATTGCGACAACGAGGTCAACCCACTTCTATATAAGGTACAAAGACTGCGAGCATACTGGGCGACACATCATCTTGGTTTATGAGTAATGCTACTTAATTTCTATATCCACATAACTTCTCCTTCAACAGCCCCTAAATGTTCTGCTAGTTACAATGGTATTGCTTTCACAATTATTTTATAGAAATCATGCCTATTTTGATTTTATTAAGACCAGCTGGCTTGCCAAGTCCTCTTAAAAGCCTTTATTTTCTTTCTCCGTTTTTTCTAATTCAAGAAGTTATCTGACTGTTCAGATATAACTAAGCTCATGCATATGGCTGACCGCCTCAAAGTGTCTTTACCCGAGCCTTCGCTTCGCCTCTTGCGTACGCATGTTGGCGTTAAGAGGGCCGGCTTGAGTAGCACCCCGGGGGAAACAGGGGCTGGTCACAATCGGACTAGCCATTTAGCCTGTCGTCTCCTCCTCGGGGCTTGGTTACCCCTCGCCCGTGCTGTTTTCTCTACTGTATGCTCAGTTTGCCCCAGTCCACTGCAAGCTATCACTTCAGAACGCGCCAGTCGCATTCTATATGGTACTTCTGGTCATATTCCAGGCTCAGGATTCGCGACCGGCACGCGGCTTGCTAACTTGGCGTCGGAGACTTCGAAGGTTGCAATGTCGGAGTCGGAACTCGGAATCGGTGTCCCGGCAATCTGGTCAGAATCAGGACAGATGGATGACTCTCCCGAGGAAATCGAGTCGGAGGCGAGTAGAGGTGAGCTTTTATGAAGGGGTCGCTATTTGACCTCTATTAATCGTGCTACTACAGGTTTGTTGTCATTACTAGATCTTTGGGAAAGGTACCAGTATATTTTCCAGTGAATAAGAAGGTTTTTATCTTTCTTTTTGTGCAGGAATACAATATAAAATTCTAGCCGCATGGGACTAAAGATCTTGAGGCCCAACCGGGTTGTGTGCTTATCAACTAATGCATATTGCTGCTGCCCTGCTAGTTCGAGATTTACCTATTCGATTTCCACCATAAAAAGGCGACTTAAATGAAGATTATTAAATTTTTATTTCAGTTTAAGTTAAGAGTATGACCCAAGGTACCTATCAGCCCAAGTGGGCCTATTCAGCCCTGGCACAAGCCTCTCCATTTTAATAAAAGAGTGTGAAAATTCCTCTTCTATACTTTCGGCCAAACTTGAATATAAGGCAGTTGTATTTGGCTCGCTAAGGTGAAAGGTAATAAAGACCTTGAGAAGTGTTATTACCTCATTTTCACAACTTGGTCGTTTTGTCAGGGCGACCTAGTTGGACGGACCTTGTCCGAAGTCCTCTGCTGTAGCAGTTACAATACTTCCCAGCGTTGGATATCGGATTTGGTACATTCACAGACATTTCGCTGGCATCTTAGTCGTCATCGTCATTGAGTATTGCAATTGTCAGCACCAAGCTACAACTCGAAAATTAAAT